AAAAGTTGTATCAAGAAAGAATAAACTAGTTCTAATTAAGAAAGGACTTGTATCGCTGATGTTCGTCAGAAAGAATTTATACCGGAAATTAAGAAACCAGCAGATACACAACAATATAAACACTAAAAATAAAATAGTACTCGGTAGTCATGAATTTAGAACTAGAACTAGAAGATCGAAAACGGTAGAATTTAGAAACAAAGATTTTTTTTATAATTACAAGTACAACTAAACGGTAAACCTGTAACGAATAGTATAAACATCTTAGTTGGCAAATTGTAGAATATTTTTAATATTTAGTTTGTTTTAGAAATAGACTGATTAATGTATATTATTTCGATTTTTTGGAACGATTACACGTTAGGTTTGTAACTTTACTAGGAAAAAAGCTAATTGAGGTGCAGGTAAAGTTAGACTTGGGACGAATTAGTTTGTTAAAACTTATTTTTAATTTAAGGTATGTTAAACAGACGTACGATAGTATTATATATATATATATATATATATACACACACACACTAGTATTACTGTAAGTAATAAACTTAAATACGATATAATAATATATTGTAATAGTAAATTATATTTAGTTTTGCTCCATTCTAACTCTAATAGTTTTTAAAATATATACTTTTCAGGTTAATACAGTTAAGAATATTGTAGGTGTTGAGAGCACAGACACATCACTTGTGGGGTGTGCTAGGTGCAAGTGGTGGGTTTTGTTTGAAAGTAGTAGATCAACATACAGTTTTAGAGAGTGTAGTAGTGAAGATGTGTAATTTAGTTACACATTGAAAAATTAGTTAGAGGCTGTCTTAATTAGTTTCCCAAGTTGAGAAAGAGAAGTGTAAACTGTAAGAAATGGTAATAAAGCTTAGTTAGGAAGTTGAAATGTTAAGTGGAAGGATTGCACTAAGCAGGTATTTCAAGAACATAGAAAGGGTAATGGGCTAGAAGTTTTGACAATAATGCATTTAGGTCTTGGGAGTGTTTCATTGAGCAACGTGTTTCAACTATTAGCTAGTGAAGAAAGGTAGCCGGAACAGAGAAGGAAAGTGGACAGGATGGGATGATAGAGCTAAGTTTAAAGAGATCATTGTTGTAGGTAATAAAGGCTTCTCAACGATGTCATAAGTGTTTTAGTGAATACGACATGGTGCCATCTTGGATTACAAGTGATCTTCTAATGTGGTGGACAGAACAAAACAAATCTTTAAGAACTCTAGCAGACAATCATACTTTGACATATTAGATGGTGAATCAAAGGCCAGATTCTCAACAAAATACTAATTTGATAAAAATTGCCTTGTTCACCATTCATAAGACCAAATGGAGTCATGATGTAAAGTTATTACCTGGTGTAAAAACCACAGGCATCGTAGTATATCTGACATATAGTACAAGCTTCTACATGCTAGAAGATCTGAGAGCGTAAAAAAGTACAGTCCTAAACTTATCTGGTTACTAGTTGGGTTTGAGATGTTTCAACTATGGTAATTAATGACCATATTGTAGTGAATTCAAAGTATCGAACTTCATAATTCACATTCATTTAAATAGAAAAAGAGGGTAAAATTAAAGCAAATAAAACTTATTCTTGAAAAGTACAATGATACTATTATTAAATTATGGGTTGTATTGTGAAACCACAAATTTCAACATAGGCCTAATATTTCTTATAAAGAAATCTGAAGGGTCTTTTTATATGCTTTTGATTTTGAACCTGCTATGGATAATTAAGCAGAGTATGGAAGAAAAACAAGTTAAAGAGATGTCAAAAATTTTAGGCTAGTTGGTTTCTAAAGCTTTACCAACTTTTAGCATTTAAACCATAATTTCTAAAGATGTAAATATTGTTTCCATGTAAAATAATGGCAGTAGATTATTATTATTATAACTGAAAAAAAACTTGACAGTTGTTTACGTTTAAACCAATTTTTAAACTTACCAATAATTAAATGTATATGGAACAGACACCAATATAGGTGGTAGCCGAGGTGTACGCATTTGTCTCATTGATCTTATGATAACTGTCTGGTTTTATCTCCTTGAGTCTCAACCATTTTAGGCAAGTGGAAAAAATTATTTTATCCTTGTCACATCTGTTTGAATAATTTACCACTACACAAAAAGTAGGCATTATGTAATTGGTGTTATATCAGTATATGGTTCTTAATGTTAGTTTATCCACAGCTTGGAAGTGTTGCCTGTTGTCTTAGATGGTGGACAGAAATTTTGTGATGTTAATTGTTAGAATCTTTACTGTTTTTGATTGACATCAGTGACATAGATAAAGGAAAGGGCAACAAGTTGCTTGAATTTGCTGAAAACATAAGGTTTTTGTTTTTTCTGGATGTAAGGAGAATACTGCTTCACTATAAAAGGATTTAGATCATTCATTTACTGAATATTTGGCAGACTGGTTTTAATTATAACAATTGCAAAATAATGAATTTAGGGTAATTTGAATAACGAGTATAATTTTGATGGGAATCTTATTATAATGTAGTTTGTGATGTATACATCCAAACCTTGGATCTCAGAAACTACCACACAAATCATTACCAATTATAACTGGGTAATGTTTTTATAATTAGGCAGTAGTTTTATAGCTGAGTAATAAATAAAAGAATTGCAATTTCCACACATATGATATGTTTCAGATTTAACCAATAAAGTTTACAAAAAAGGAGTAAGTTTCAAATATAAAACAATCAAAAAGTTAAAAAAATTATTTGTTTTTCTTTAGTGAAAATCTCATGAGTGTTGCAACACAAAAGCAAAGCACTTTCATTGATAACTGCATTTACAAAGAAATACTTCAATAAAATCTACTATGTGATGTAATATTATGATGATAGCACATTTTTTTTTAAACTAAAATTTCAATAAAATCCTTTTTCTCATGGATGGTGAACATTATTGAATGTCAAATATGGGTACATTGCTGTTGAACTGTCGGACAATTCCAGAAATGGCTGCAGACCCAATAGCCTTCTGCAGGAATTAGCAGTTATACCTGCCCGTAGGGTGAGTATTTCTGCTGGTAATGTTAACAATGTTATGGAAGAAGAAGAGGGTTTTGGATGATTATTTTTGTATGTCACCCAAGCAGTGTGCTGTTGCTAATGGCTGGACAAATAGAAATTTGAATTGTATTTACAGAAATATTGAATGCAAGTCTAAAGAGGTTATTTCTTTGTATAGGTCCATGGTAAGGCCTCCTTTTGAGTTTTGTTTCAGTCTTGGGCTCCTTACCTTAAGAGGGACATAGAATTGTTGGAAAGTGTCAGAGCAGGGCTACTAGTATGATAATTGGGATGGAAAGGTAGTCATATGAGGGCAGGTTATGATCTCTGAAATTGTTTTCTCATAAAAAAGAATAGTTAGGAGAAATTTGATTAGGATGATAAAGATTATTAAAGGAATTGATAGTAGTGATGTATCATCTTTTTTTCAAGCTTAATAGTGATGACAAGGAGACAATTTTGCATTCTGGCATGGTAGGAGTCATCTTTAATATAGTTTTACTTTTCTGTTGTGGTGGTTGGTATTTGGAGTGGTTTGCCCTCAGATGTGGTGAATACAGTAAATCTAAGAGTGTTTAATGGAAGACTTAATAAATAATAAAATAATCAGGGCTGGATTTCAGACTTTTTTAAAAATAGATAGGACAGTTTATATGTATAATAGAGCCATTGTTATCTCTTAAATCATTTAAAATGTTATCAAATATACTGATGCTGTGGTCAGAGGTAAAAATTACATACGATCTGTAATTTTTTCTTTTAATTCAACAATTTTCATGTAAGTAGATTTAAGTATATTAATTTATTGTGGCATGATAAAGTTAACTTTTTAACTCAATCCATATAATCAATTACATACGAGCATTGATTTGTGCCATGTAAAATAATCAGTGAATTGAAATTACAATTAAATTGATTAATGTAATAGAAAATAATCAACTAATCAAAATTATTGTTTGTGATAATAACTGTTTTTCATTAATGAAAGGTTGTTCAACTTAATCAGTTAGTATTTCCAACCATTACTATTTTCTGTGAGAATTATTGAGCAGTTGAATGTAGTTGATTAATAAGCTCAATTGTTAATTGATTAGCAAATTCCAATAATTGCCTAGTTATACTTTGAAGGCAGACACTCATGATTCCACCAGGAATGCAAGCCTCTAAAGTTTCTTATGGCACAAGCTCTAAAGATTAGGATTTTTCTGGGTGTGTCTTTGCAATCAGTGTCAATCTTAAGAAAATAAATAAAACCTCTATTCATTCCTTGAATGCATACTGTTTTAAAACTAGACTTCTTTCTATTGTAATCCAAGTTCTGCTACTTGTAGTAAGAATCCAGTGCTACAATGTAGTTACATCAGAACCACAATAAATTTATTTCATACAGTTTCATTTGAGTTTGTAATGGTGCTGTTTGTGATTTGCTGCCATTCTTCTAGTTTATTAGTTAATGATGAGGGGTAACTATGTACACATATCATTTAGCTTTGTGTGAAGTTCAAACCAAGACTCCTCATTCAACTTTGAGTTCATTTTCAAAATTCTTATTTAAAACAAAGTTAATTTTCATGCCAAAAGTAATGGTTAATGTAGTAAGTCAGGGATTTTTTGTATTGTAGTTTTACTAGTAATACAAGTTAATTTTCATGCCAAAGGTAAGGGTTAATGTAGTAAGTCAGGGATTTTTTGTATTGTAGTTTTACTAGTAATATAAGTTAATTTTCATGCCAAAAGTAAGGGTTAATGTAGTAAGTCAGGGATTTTTTGTATTGTAGTTTTACTAGTAATATAAGTTAATTTTCATGCCAAAAGTAAGGGTTAATGTAGTAAGTCAGGGATTTTTTGTATTGTAATTTTACTAGTAATATAAGTAATGATGTTAGTATTTTTTGTGATGAATATCAAATTTACCAAAAAATTATATCAAAGAGTGTGTTAGGTTTTAAGTTTTTTAAAATGTTGAATTTCTTGTTTTTTATGTCTTTTAATTTATTCTTTAGGTCTTAAAATAAATGTATTCTCACTACACCACTTGGTTGTAATTAATACCCTATATTAACATAATACACTTTGACTGCAACAGTGTAACTCATTCAATACTGATAGTAATTGCTTAGTTTTGAAAAGTTCCTAATTATCATTGGTTAAAAGTTATAAATGTCACTTTAATAAGAAAATGTTATGATCTTTATTTACAACTACCCCTTTTTTTCCACAATATGTTGTCAGAGTTCATGGTGTAACTTGATAATTAACTTTGCTGGGAAACTTTCCTGTAAATACCAATCATTTCTATTGTTGTTACATAAGAATATGAAATTATCTTTATTATATGCTACAAGTTTCAAAATGAGTTATAAAATGTAAAAGTAATAAACTTGTAATAGCTTTAATTTACAGAAATCTGAAGGCTAATAACTTGCATGCTCATGAAAAATAAAGAAAATTGCTAAGTTTACTGTATTTAGGTGATACAAGTTCTAATTCACTTGTTTCTTCATAGTTGGACTGCAAGTTTGAAATAAGGATGGAGAGCACACTTAAATAACAATGGAAGTATTGAAGGATGAAAATATAACTCTCTGACGAAGAATAGAATGGAAGTCAAGTTGCTGAGAAATGGAAGCTAAAGAATTATCACTTTGTAGTAAGTTTAGAATTTTAAGTTGCTGTTTTCTTTGTATAATATTTTTTCCCTCATCACCATTTTCAATATTTAATTTTTTCATCTTATTCTGATTCTTAACTGTAACACTGGTAAGCACTCCCTGGTTAGATATTTATTAGTCATTGGATCTAAGAAAATAGATACACATCAGCACATTAATCAGAATTGAATTATTATTTTGTCCATATATATAACAAGTGTAAGTAGGTCCAGCAGTTAGTTAAAACACAACATAGCTGAGGGAAAACATGAATAATTATAGCTTAATTTCCTGTGGTGAAATACACTTGAGCAGGTGAGGATTGTCTTTAGTATATTTCTTTCTGAAGAGAAACATACTGTTTTTCTATTATTTCTTCTTCTTCCAAACACTTCTCAGTTGACTGTCATTCCTTCATTTCTTAGTGTACTGATTGGAACTTGGTATGGTTATATCTTGGTCAAATACACGTTTTTCATTTAGTCCTTTTTAAGAATTTTATGGGGCCAAATGTCAAACAACCCAAAAATGTATATTTTGGGCTCCTGTGTGATTATATTTACTGCAGTCATCAAGGAGATTATTGGCACAAATATAAACATATTGCCTGTTACTTTGAAGTAGCAGTACTGAAACAA